GTCCTTCTAAGGAGAGACACATCAGGGACAGCTGCAAGCCAAGGAGAGGCCTCGGGAGAAACCCAACCTTCTACACCCTGCTCCTAGGGGTACAGCCTCCAGAACTTGCACTGTTGTGTAAGTCCTCCAGTCGACGGTGTTTTGCATGGCGGCCCAAGCGGACTAGTACTCTGTCTGCGGTCTCCTCAGGGGATTCCCTGTGGTGTACAGTGCAGTCTGGTTTAACGCTTTTTTTCACAGAACTGTTTGCTTCTTTTCTTTCCACCTTTTAGGGAGGATTCACTGGGTTGGCAGGAGATTTCATTTCCCCCAACAATCTGGCACTGAAAGCAGGACTGGTCTGGCGGTTCTGGATTTGAGTGAGTCAGCTAAAATGTCTTGTGGCCACACAACAGGTAAGAGATGCTGAATTACTAAAAAAAAAAAATCTCCGGGCTCCAGGGTGGCTCAGTCGGTTAAGGGTCTGCTTTCGGTTCAGGTCATGATCCCAGGCGCCTGAGATGGAGCCCCCGTTGGGCTCCTTGCTTGGCGGGGAGCCTGCTTCTCCCTCTGCCATCCCCCTTAGTGCTCTTTCACGCTCTCTCAAATATATAAAATCTTTAAAAATTAAAAAAGTCTCCCTTGCTCCCTTGTATCTTTCTCATCCTTTCCAATATTAAGATATTGAGTAAGAATGGGTAATATATGCTTTAAAATCCTGTCAGGAATGTAGAGGTCACTTTCAGAGGAACAGACTTGATGGTAGGTAGAAAGGGCCCACAGAGACCCCCTGGCTAATAGATGGGCCCATCATGTAACCCACCTCAAAATATCTCTAGGCCCTAACTAAACAATGGGTTACTTATAACCAGGCACAGTTACCAAAAAAGGAGAAAATTCTATATATCACCAATACCGCCTCACTCTCCCTCTTTAAAAAACAGCCCCTACCCACTGCCTTCTCCTAGACAGCCTGTCCTCTGCTGTCCTGCCTTCCACTCCCTTGCAGTGTATTCGCTAAACTTCTCTTTTGTTCTGCCTCAGGTGGAATCTATCACTGCCCATGCCACCAGTTTCCACCTCATCAGCGCCCCACATCTGGGCGCCCCCATCTGATCTGGAGAGACACCACAAGGGACACTATGAGCTATGAGGATGGAAAAATATAGGAAGCCAGAAATTTTGTGGAGGCAGGTCTTTCTCTTAAATAATCTCTCATTTGGAATGGGTAAGCATACGATAATTCAGATGTGTAGACTGAGGAGGGTTCCTCTGACTTGGATAAGTTAATGTATTTGTGGAAGTTCTTAGCAGAGCCTCACTCCAAGTGAATGAACTACTGGTATA